AGGTTATGGGCTTTTAGCATTACCTATTATTATTATTGTTATTATGGGCTGTGACATGAGACCAGAGACCACCAAATGACAGGTCCCTCACTCTCTCTCTCTCTCTCTCTCTCTATCTCTTTCTCTATATACACATATGTATGTGCTTGTGCCGACACATCCATAGTTAAATGAGCAATGGCTGTGCATATAGAATGAGGAGAGACTCGAACTCCATGTTGACGTGGGGGATAAACATGTTGCGGCTTGTCGCATGTAATTTATTCAAGGAGCCTGTCGGTTTGGGTCCGTATGCCCATGGACCACACCACAAAAGATGTTAATTAAGAAGCCAAAGTTAATCGATTTGCGGCCATCGCTGGCCAAACATGTTGATTGCTGCGGTCGTCTTTAATGTTGTTTGGGGCCAGGACCACTGCGGCATTCGTTGGCTCTTTGGGGCATTCTGGGCATCCTGGGCATCCACATCCACATGGTTAGCAGATTTCTTATTTGATTGGAATAAAATGTGGCTTATCCCAGTCAAAGGAAAACTTTCTCTACCTTCTTGCCCCTGAGCAGAGCATTGCTTTGGAAAAAAAAATCGAGGAAGTAAGGAAAATATCTGAAAAGACCAATGCAGCGAAAGCACATGGAAAACTGCACAGTAAAAAGCAAACACTCAGGCGGATCTGCTTCTTATTTTATTTTTTTTTGGTTTTGGCAATTGTTGCATTGCATTTTCCCACAGATTGCAACAAAATTAAAACGTTTTAGTTACCGGAAATTCACTAATTCCAAGATGGCGACCTGCAAACTTTAACTTGCACTGTTTCCGCTTCCGTTGCTGCCACTGGAGGCCATCGCCGTCTCAGCCGCTGCCATCGCTGTGCCATTTCTTTCGTGCCGTGCCGCCACTCGGGAGCTTTTAATGTTTTATGCCTGATTGAGTTTCGCTTTTGGTTTCTTTGCCTGCTTTTGTTTTGCCCGCCCGCCGCTTTTGGCTGGACATTTCTATGCGATTTCCGCCTTTGTGGTTTATGTTTTGAGCATTTCTGTTATTAAACTTTGGCAGCTCCTCCTCAGTCCTCAGTCCTCAGTCGTCGTCCTCTCCAGCCACTTCATTTGGCTTTGTGCTCCGGCCCGTTGCTAAGTAATGAGATCGATTCGATGCTTTTTATTCACGTTCCCACTCTGATTCTGATTCTGATTCTCTTTCTCTTTTCATTTCATTTTGTTCTGCTGCCCACTTGTGCCACATTTTTAATTGTTTTTTAACGTTTGATTATTTGAAATTCAAAGTTGGTTGCTTTCGTTCAGTAATTGATTCGCGCACTTTTGTTGGTCATCGTTGGAAAGTGATTTTCCATGCCTAATGGTGGTAAATCGCATTCAATTTGCGTGAGTTTCTTTGAAGATTAATTAGTGGTTTGCAGAGAGTTCAACTGCCCCGTACATCCGTACGTCCAGTGTACATCCATACCCTTGAGGTATCGCATGTGAACACATCATGTACTCAATTAGTCATTACATTAGTCGGCCACTATGTATCTAATTGATGTATTTGCCCGGCAACGTTTTGTTTTACCCCAAGTTGGACAGCTCTTCCTTTCCGCCTCCTCCGCCTCCTTCCACCCACCACACTAATTTGTTCGGGGCGCTCGCCTTTGGTTTATTCATGCTGCTGTGCTAAATAAATAAAGCAATTTGTAGCAGAGTCACGTAAATTGTAATCTGGCAAATAAATTGATTTGTTTGTTAAAATCGCTACCAGCGAAGCCAGCACGAAGGACTAACAATCCCGACTGCTTTGATGAAACTGGAGCACAGCCCCCGCTGGCGCATAACTGGCTCAAAAATATCATCATCCATTATGCACTGCCTGACACAGCCTTTGTATCCAAAGAGGTCATGGATTGGGGCATCACCATCGCCATCGCCATCGGCATCGGCATAGATACTCCCCGGCTCTCTGGCCAAAGACAAACACAACAAAAGCCCCACAAAAAACTGTGCCCAGAGAAAACAAACAAACAGAGAGCTTCTCTAAGCCGCCTGTACCTCTGACACCGACATGCATGCTCGTCGGCCATACTGCCGGCGTATGGTATGGGCTTGGGGTTTTATTTTTATCGGATCTGCGGCACGAGGATGCAGCTGGAAATTGATTTGTTTGCCTCTAGACACCTGAGGGAATGCATTGGTACGAGTATGTTGCCAAAGCAAAATGCTACTCAGAATTCTCCCCAAATTGAAACTGGATTATTTATGGCCCGTACCCGCAACCGAAGTGTATTGCAATTAATATAATTTATGATTGTTAATTCGTTGCATACCATGTGCAAGCGTTTATCTCATTACGGCTGCTGTCGCTTGAACTGCATTTGGATCCTGAATTATTCAATGAAAAATGCCAAGGCCTGGCAAATATTTGCCCATCAGATGTCGACGTGCCGTACGGCTGCTGCTGCCTAAAATGAAATTTATCTCGGGGAATTTGATTTTAATATTAAATGTGTCTGAGGGCAGGCATTCCTGGAGTACCTCACACAGATATACATACATACATACATATGGCATCCATCCCATATCCCTATCCCTATTTCCGTATGGCACGGGCTGCCAGGTCGGTAATGCCCGACTGCACCGCAATCCCGGCTTTAGTTTATAATGCCTTGCTTTTGCTTACTTCTCGATGCGAACTTTTCGGTTCGGTTTGGTTTGGTTTGGTCCTGCCCAGCCCAGCCCTTGCCTGTCTGTCTGGCTGCCTGTCTGTGGCTTGGACTGTGATTTACAAGCGTAAAATAGCAGAAGCATAAAATATTTAACTATTTTGTATCGACTATCCCGTGTCCGCCTCACTGTTTCAGTATCTGTCTGGCACATGTGTGTGTGTGTGTGTGTGTATGTTTGAATTCTCGAAGCTGGCAGAATGTTTCTGTGGCTGTTGTGAGGAGGCTTCATGCCTGTGGGTTTGCGGGTTTTTCCATGCATACTCGTACTTTTGAGCGCTCTCCACTCCGTTTGCCTCTCAATTCGTATTTGCATAAATTGTTAATGAGTGGTTATTGTTGGTGGGCCCCAAACATCGCACGAATGTGCGTGTGTGTGTGTGTTCGTATCGAAAGTATTCCTACACAAATATTATTTTAATCGAATGTCCCCCTTAAAGCCGCAACGAACCCAAACCACAGCCGTTTTCCAGTCATCAAGTAATTACATATTTAAATTTCCACGACCATTGCAAAGGACCTGCCACAATGGCGGTGCGAACGCATTTATTAAATTTTCATTAAAATTTATAGTTACCTCATAAATCAGCAAATTAATATTAGGATGTGGGCAAAGCGCTGGAGCCGGCGAAAGGAAGGTCGCTGGCCCATTGTGCATGGAACATAGCACGTGGATAAGCATAACTCATGCTCCCCCCCCTGTCTGGACGGGGTCATTCATGGAGTCTGTGTAAAATTTGCGACACATTCAAACATTCGAAAATATTTCGCCAGCCAGACCTTGGCATGTGACACATTGTACGAGTATGTGCGGCATTTCACTTTAATTTGAAGTAGACTTTTCCGCATCGACATGCGGTTTAAACTTTAAAGACCCGCCAGCTTCGGGGATCCATTAGACGGCTGTTTCTGGTCTCTGCCCGGCCCTGGCCCTGCCCTGGATTGGCATGTAACGTGCAAATAACAAATAAATGGCCAACTAAAACCAACATCAATCAGGTCATGTTTATGCGGGCGTGCAGAGCTTGAGCCTGGACTCTCTGGACACAGACCCTGGCCCATGTTCGGTGGCTGCCTTGGGAGACGAGGCGCCTCTCCACGCGATGCTGCAGAAGCCTGCGCTGTAATGCAATAAGTTTGCGTTATTGATGTCGCTGTCAAACAAACAGAACGACAACAACAACAACAACTGCAACAGCTTTAATAACATTAACACGGTCTCTACCAACACCAGACCAGACCAGACGTACTACTCGTAAGCCAAACTGACAAGTCACTCCTTTGTTAAGATTCGGAATGACCTCGTTGTGTGTGTACAAAGGAGTTGAAGGAGTACATAGTAGGAGTACGTAACTTGGCGAAATATTCCAACTCGTATTATTTATGGTGCGACTAAGTCTAGCCAATCTTCGCGAGCTATGCTACAGCTCCTTGGCGAAGACTTGAATAGCAAAAGTTCGAGTCCATTTAAGATTGTATGTATGTATGTGTTTGTAAAAGGGCATGCATGAATCCTGCATGTCCTTAATACAAATTGAAACTTCTGCTGCTGCAGATAACTGGTATCCGAGCACCTTCAGCTTCAAGATGCCAAAGCCCACAGGGTAGCAGCCAAAGAGTCACAGCGGGGGGGACATCAGCCAATGATAATGTCAACGACAATGATTCCGAGCCAGAGGAGGAGGAAAATTTGGCATATTTTGCACCAGTAATCCCCATAGAGCTTGAGCAACACTTTGGGGACCACCCTCTGGTGCCACCCGTACCTGCACAAAGAAGTGTTTAATATTGATGGAAAATATTGTAAGTCCCAGTAAGTACTCGCAGTACTCGAAGAGTTTAGGGATACTAGTTTAGTGGTGGGACCAAGAACGACTGGCCGATCCCCCCGAGTTATCCCCATTTATTATCCGCATAATATAATATAAGCAAAATTTTCTACACAGGGCGGTATACAACCAAAGGCGACGTCTATCAAATTTCAGCTGAACTAAAGTACGGTACAAATTTGGGAAGAAAACCTCAATAGGTGGCGGCAGCGTTGTGCTGCTATCGACATTTACAGTCTTTAGATATGTAGAGTGTGAGCGAATACACTATATATACTGTGAGTGCAAGTGAATAGGCAACATTAACTATGTGAGACAACTATATGTACATGGGCGCGAACTTAGAGTTTTTAAAATTAGGGAAATTTTTGTATATCTGTTTTTTTAACAGAAATTCTTTTAAATTTTGCTGGCACCCGACATTCAGCTGCCCACAAGAAAAAAACTTATGGTAGAAGAGTTATGGGTACATAGGTTAATTTTAATGTTGAACATCGAATTTAAGGATAGAGTTAAAGTGTCGACACAACCATCTTACTTGGCATTTAACCAAAACTTTTTTTTATCGATTTCCTCGGTGACGACAACACCATCTTCAGCGTTCTTCTTGGCCTTCTCGTCCTACTCCGTTGGGACTGAACAGATGGCCATTATGGAATTACGACAAACAAAGCGAAGACAGCGCAGCGATCCATTCAAATTGTCAAAGAAGCCGTAAAGCAGCTTCTTGAGGCTCGGCTTTGCAGATGACTCCTTATCGCCGGGGTTGGGGTTGTAGTTTTTCACGAGGAGCTGAAGGTCCCAGAAGCTCAAATCGGTATCGTCACCCACCGCCAGCATATTGTTCTCAGTGTTTACAGCAATCGAATTAATGACGGACGTGTGATGTTTCAGGGTGCGGACCATCCGTCCGCTGTCCGTGTCCCACACAATTATGAGGCAATCGTGGCCCCCGGAGATCAGGTAACGGCCGCACTTTGAGAACGCCAGAGCAGTGATGTTGTACTTGTGGCCACGGAAGAGACGCACCTGAAGGCCCTTTTTAATGTCCCACATTCTCACCGTGCAGTCGGCGGAGCCTGTGACCAGGTACTGGCTGTTGGAATGGAACAGACACACCTCCATGTCTGCCAGATGACCGGCGAGCTGGAGAAAGGGCTTCTTCGTGCTGCTACCCCAGAGTCGTACAATGCCATCGTCCGAGGTGCCGGCAAAGATGAAGCCCCGCGGGGCAAACGCCACGAAGGTGCACAGATGGTTTGAATAGACGGTGGCACAGGTCCAGGAGATCACGCACCACAGACGCATCGTGAAGTCCCGCGAGCTGCTGAGCAGGAAGCGGTTCTGGGGGGCAAAGGCGAGGGACAAGACTGGCTCCTTGTGGCCGCTGAGTGTTTTCTCGTCCCTGCGGCAATTGGAGTCCGGACTAATCTTGTCCAAGCCTACGGTGACACGGATATTGTTGTTGCTCAAGCCAATTGCCACCATTGACAGGTCGCCCGATGGTGTGCAACAGAGAACTTTCGCATCGCCCCCCCCGGCTGCGAAGTTGAAGATCATGGGCCGATTGTCTCGATCCAGTGGAAGACAGTTCGGCAAGTCAACCGAACTGTTGACAAGGGGCTCCAGCTGAGGCAGCCCAGGCAAGGTCGACTCCTGGAGCGGGTCCTCATCGTTGTAGCTGCGGATGGCGAAATGGCGTAGCAGCTTCTCCTGCTGCCCACGAGTCCAGTCTGTCACGCAATTTATGTACAGAAGATAGGTCGGACGGGCCATAGCGACCGCCACAGTGTCCGCACCAGCGAGCAGTTCCAGGGCCCTTCCCGGCAGGTCATCCGGCTTGCGAATCAGCTTGAGCTTGTCGATGCGCCGACTGTACGACTCGTCCAAGCACGTGGCAGCCTCCTTCAAGAAGCACGTGGCCCTCTCCAATTTCTCTCCCATAACCATTTGCAGGTACGCAAAGGTCAGCATGGGATAGAGCATCAGGAATATTTCATATTTATGGTAGCTGGGAACAGCGTCGACGATTTTCTGGGTGCAACGGAAAGCCTCTTCATATTCAAGAAGAATCTCTTCGTCCTTAATGCCGGCAAAGTTTAAGAGTTCGCCTGCTGGGCGAATGACGATGGCATTGCCCTCGTAGAAATCTTTGCCACGTTTGTACACTTCAATCCGCTCCATGGAAGTACCAGCATCACTATTGCCTGCGAAGTCATTGCTTGATACTTTTTCTACGGTTGCCTTCACTGATAGTTCTACAGCGTTCTTTATATCATGGAGAACTTGGAAGAACTCCGACGAAAAGACAGAAACCTGGTCGCGGTTCTGCTGAGAAAAGGTTTAATTATACATGTATGTATATAAAGCGTTAGAAACTTACTTCTGGGTTGATCTTTCCTTTACCACCTATTTTTTTACCGGATGGGCCTTTCACTTTTGAATTTTTCATTTTAATTGCTTGGTTTTCAATTGTTCTTTAAATTTTTCTTTAAATGCAAGCACGCTTTCTGATATTCGTGCAGGGCTGCTATGTCGATAGTAATCGAATTTGCATTCGATGTTTGCCAATTAGCACTGTTATTCATTAAATTTAGTTTAAGGAATTTTATAATACAAATGGATTATTATCATTTAATACAATTTTAAATAAATGCGGCAAAGAATGCAATTGCAAATTTTTTTACCTCTGCTGCCATCATTTTTTTGCGATATGCGACTAGTGTCGCAAAATCTTCGAAAACCGCGCAAGCGCAGCCAAGTTCATGTTCGGCCTCAACGAATGGCACACAATCGACTCATGAACTCGTTCCTTACAAGAGTGGTGGCCATCCGCCGAAGATGTTGCTCATATGTATAATTTAAACAGTGGCGGGAAGATAAGCAGCATGTCCCTCTGCCCACGCCCACAACCCTAACCGAAATCAGAGAGTCTATAAAGCTCAATAAAGTGTCAAATCGAAGGAAACCATCACCTGAGGATAATCATGCCGTTCTCGATATTCAGCAGCGAGTAGTTGCACGCTCGCTATGGAAGTGCCAGGCATGCACGGGGAAAGGACATCGCGCATCACATAGATCACTCCGAAGAGCTCTATCTGCAGGAAGTCCAGGTAGAAGAGCAGGAGTAGCAGTAGCACCCTAGATTCTTATCCAAATGTGTTATGATGCAGCCAAGAAAGCGCGCCTTGAACCATACGGCACTGCCACCGGCATTCAGTTTGTTGTCAGCCACAGATCCAGCAGAAATTTTGGCAGTTCTTAGACGATTTGATGCCTCCACATGTTGGTTGCTTAGTGATTTCATCCTTCTCTGGCATTTGGCTTCAAACTATGTGCCGCATTAGTAGAGTCGTTGGCAATGACTGCGGCGGTGCTTCTTGCAGGAGGAGATGCAACTAAAGCTGGACGATGAGCCGGAAGCAAGTAGGCGTGGCGTTATACAATGGAAACGTAACTGGAGAGAGATAGAAATAGAGAGTTGGCAGCCATTAGACGGTTGTCGGTGGGCGGTGTTGACAAAATACGCCATAAAAGACCTAAGTGCTCGAGCCCGTACCAATAGGTGTACGAAGTACGGTGCACTGGAATTCCCCACTGCATTCCCTGCCGAAAAAAGTTTTGCTCATTTTCGTTGTCGCGCTTTTGTTGCCCCCCAAAAGGAAAACAAAAATTGCGCCCGCGGTCAAGAGTCAGACGCCGTCTTTTTTTTTCATTTTGTACCACCCTCTTTTTTATTTCATTCAACTTTTTTTTACCAATATTTATGTGGTGCTGGTCCCATGTCCATGTCGGAGATCCCACCAAACTGCTGGACTCATCCAGTGACAGCCCAGCCCTGTGGCGCTTGTCGACAGTTGTCCAGCGCCCTATACCCTATAGGGAGGGACATACGTACTAATGTGAGAGGGAAGTAGACATCCATTCCAGCATCTAATATATATATCAAAAAACTTAATCTGGCTTGTGCCAGAGCCTGGAGGCCAGGCCAGACCATAGAAGTCAACTGGACAGGCGGCCAATGAGCAGTACTTAATATATATATATATATATATTCTGTACTTGAACATTCCCATCTGCAGTATTCTGTAAAGGGTATTATTAAAAATCTAATTGGGTGTGTTTTGTTTAAAACCCATAATTAGTACCACATGGCATTGGACATGGACACATGGACTATAAAATGCTGAATCCAGCGCTGCGACGCTTAATAAAATTATTTTAGTGATCGCGAATAGTAATTAAAATGTGCAAAAGCGAGTTTCAGCCCAGCCTCCGATTTATCAGCATCCTGTTAGTGCTGATCCTCATACTCGAAGTGAAAGGAGTAAAATATGAGTTCTTGATCGAAGATGAGAAAATATTCACTTCGTGCCCAAACCAATCACCTGGGGTATTTGGTTCGGATGGACTGTTCGATTTTTCAGAGTTCAAGGCGACCATTAATTATGATGTTATAACCATTGGAGGAAACATTACTTCGAAATGGGTCATGGATCCGACGGACCTGGTCTCGGTAACTTATCCGTTGATCCAATAGCGCGGTGATCCTACAGCAATACAATACCTATGATTCCAGTTCCAAATCGCATTGTTCCAATATGATCGTGGTAATTGGCTGCCCACCATATACATCATCACCGTCAAGGACTTCTGCAAGGTCATGTACGACAAGAACTATTACTGGTACACCTATTGGACAAAATACGTGATCAATAAGAAGGATGTGGAAAGCCGTTGCTTCATGCTGGGTGTATATATATTCCTGTCGCCCTAAAACAGTAACCGCCGCTAATCCGCTTATAAATTACAGACAAAGCTACTTATGGAGGAATATAAATTGCATCTGGTGTTGAACATTGGCAGCGCCGTTTTTTCTGGACTTTATAAAGCCATATACACGATCGAGGCATACAGTGCGTTGGGTGTTAGGCGACCAACCAGTTTCTGTTTCGAGGTCAGAGGAGAATTCAAAAAGGTTAAATAAACTAAAATTATTTAAAAAACTTCACCAATTGAATCATAATTTCTTTACACTTAATCAACACATTAGCGCTGCTACAAATAATAAAAAAATAATATGGTATCGCCTTTGAAGTGGCAGTAAATCAGCCATCGCTTTACATATTTGCACTTCCGACCAACAACCAACCAACTTCCACCATCATTAAACCTATTGCAATTTACTTATTGGCTTACTCTACATACCCTGTCTGGTCTGCCCATTTGGGCCATCTACACGCATTTTATTTTTCCCGGCCATGGCAAATTTATTCAACTAATTTTATGCTCTCGGCAACCATTTTTCCACTCGAGCGGGAGATGGAACGAACCATTTTCCTGCGACTTCCGTCAAGTCGGCTTTAAGCCAGGTTGTCTCTCGGCCGGCTCGGCCGCAGCGTAGCCTTACGTAACATTTGCAAATTGCAGTTTTACTTCTTCGCCTTTGCGGTGTTGGCTTGCCTTCGCCTTCGTTGACTCGTTGCGCATACGCCGTGTGTGCAGCGCGGCTGGTTGCATAGGAGCGAGGCGAGGCGAGACAGCTCGAGAGTCGACTCTCGGGCGGCCGTTGTGCAAGCTCGTGACACAAATTCTTTGGCGCATTCGATCGTTTGGTTTTTGGTTTGGTAATTTCGGCTATTTGCTTGGTGTTGGCGCGAAAGGCAGCCGCCTGACCAGGCAGCAGCCAGTGGTCGCTACCGGTTTTTTGATACATCGCGTCTATGGTACTTTTCGAATGCAGTACGAGTATTTCCATTTTGTCCAGCCCGGTCTGGGTCTGGGGCTGCTCTGGAAACAAATCAAACATCGAATTCAAAAACCGCCAACGAAACACGATCAAAGCGAAGGTGAAAAAAATGTGCTTCAAACTTTCTTTTTATGCGCCACTTTTAGCAGTCATTTCTTTGAGCAAACATTCGTAGTTGTCGCTATCGTTCCATTCCCTCCTCGTTCGTTAGCCGCTTCATTGATTTTCATTTACACCGCAGACACGCCGCTGCCGCTGCCACAGACACTGACACAGCCACAGCTACCACCACCAAAACCACCTCAGACTTCGCTGACATCCGTGCCGTGCCGCCCGTAATTGTTGCAATTTAACAACGGCCTCTCCGATGAGGTAACCCAGCAGCAGCAGCGCCCTGTCCCCAGAGTGAAAGAGCGACAGGGCGTCTGTTTTGGCCAGGAGAGTCGGTCTCTGATCGAACTTTTTTTTTGTTGCCCATTTGCATACCAATTGACTGCCACTTAAAATATATTCGATTAACCAGCCTATTGTAAATGATATAAATATTTAGATTTGCCTTTATTTCTCTATCAGCGGCATTGTCTCTGTCTCTCTCTCTGCTGCAATTTGCGCAAGACATGCAAACGCTTTCACTGACCCGAGCGGGGCCACCGGAAATTGACCTGCAACCTGGTAAATCACTTTGTTTTGATTCGACTTTGATTTATTTTGATGGATCCTAATGGGATTCGATGCATGACACAAATGCATCGCCCAGCTCCGACATGTTTGGGGCAAAGTTCCAGCATTATCATGAGTAATTTTACCATTTTATCCGTATGCGATTCTCTAATTTTGCTTGATCTCTTCGCGGCACGTCACGTTGACGGAAATGTGTGAATTATACGGTGAGTAAATGGCAAAAGTTTTCACTCACCACACCACCAAGCAAAACTCTAGCTATTAACGTTAAAAGTTCATTGCGGTTTCGTTTCTAAATCTTTAGTTTCGCCGCTTTTTATTAGCTGTTCAAAATTACCATTACCTCACATATAATATACAGGCGTACTGTACGGGGGCTTTCCTATCGATGTACTTGTATATGTACTTGTGTCCAACGGTCGATAATCGTCTCAAAAGTTCATCAGTCTCTCCAATAGTTCATCATTTGTTGTTGTGCTGTTGCTGGTAATGCGATTGTTAGACGTTGTTTTTGGCCTCTGTTTCGGTGTTACCCATAAGAGGCTTAGGGGACTCTTAACGGTATCGTGCAATGTCTTAATTAGGCCTCACAAAATGCCATGAAAAATTGTTAAATGAAACTCAGTGGGCGTGGCCAGAGCTACCGTAAATTAATGGTGTTTCCATAATCAAGGGGATTAGTTTGCGGGAGAAGTTTACGCTTACTAATCGATGGGGAATGCACATAAATTTGAAAAGATATTAGGCAGGTGTTGGCATCTAATATTAAGTAAAGTGGGAATTTATCAAGCGATCATCAGATATTAGGAAAATATTATAAATTTTACTCCTAATTTGATAAAAATGTAATGCAGTGCCTGGAGGTTTTTTACCAGTTATTTATTCTCAGCGAAAAAAAGTCCCATTAACTAGGTGCGCAGTCATAAAAATCGAAACGATATGTACTTCTGTGAGAATGGAATGGATAAATATTGAGATAGAATGAAAGTGAAATTCTTTTGGAAGTTATTGGAAGAGAGATAGAACCGTATTATTGCACCAGGCAGAACTGTTATCCATTCTAAATGATTAAATAACCAAAACATATCCACTATTATTCATAGCACTGTAAAAACTTCAGCTAATTTCTGGGATATTATCAAGCCATTGCATTTATTTCCATTCCCCTTCCCCCAAACAAGTTCGTTGGCTTGGGCACTGCTTCACTTTTTTCCGACTCCAGTGCATGACTAGAGTCATGCATGTTTTTTATTTATACGAAAAATGGCAATATCAGATGGGAATACAGGCTCTCTCACAATCACCCTCTCTCTTTCTCGCACGCTCCCTCTCTCGCTACATATCTGCCTCTCTTTCTGTTTGTCTAACTGTCTCTTTCAGTTGAACGCTGCACAGTGCTCTCGACGCTCAGGTGTTGTCGCATTTTGGCAGCTCTTGGGCCTGCTGCGCTCGTCTTGGGGTTTCAGTTTCGTTCATGACTTCGGCGCGTTAGGAGGCAGCAGCAGCAGCAACAACGACTGTAACATCCACATCTTTAACCACTACATCACAGCACTTTGAGGCTCGGCTCTTTTATTACGTGTGCATTATAAAAAAAGTAAAATTTATAAGTCCAATTACGTGTTTACCTGCGTGCGCTCATCGTCGTGTCGTTGGTGTTGTCGCTCTCGCCGTTGCCGTTGCCGTCGCAGTTGTCGTTCCAATCCACGTTTTGGTTAGCCAAAACCACAGCCAAAACCAATACCCAAAACCCGAATAAAGTTAAAACAGCTGTTTTCGCTACAGCTGGGCAAAAGGCCAGCGAAGACAAAAGCGAAGCTAAATAGCAACAATAATCGCGCGCGAGTCGCGACTAACATGAAGTTCGGTGCCTAAGTCTTTTGTTTCTCCCAGCATTGTGCACATTCGCACAAGAAGAACCAACTGACAGCAGAGCTGTACAGAAGCACGAACAAATCGAATTAAACAAGACTGTTTTAGTAGCAAAGACAAAAGGCCCAGTGGAAACCAGTTGTGCAACTACAATTCCCAATATTCCCAAGCCTTTTACTAGCCCGAGCCCGTGCCCGTGCCCTGCCCCCGTGCCGGCTCCCCTGAATCCAGACCGCAGAATCCTGTCCCAGCAGCAGCCGCCGCTCTACAGAAATCGAAATGGCACCGAAGAAAGAGGTAACCTTGAGCCAACAGCAGCAGCATCAACATCAGCAGCAGCAGCCTGTCATGGACTTTGAAAGGATTAAGCGTCACTTCAGCTGGTCGGACCCCAGTGCCATGTGAGTCAGAGCTATGGGTATTATTCGTAGCTGTAGCCACAAGTTTTTACATCACCATAAACAGCTGCCTTAATGGTTCCATAAAGTAGTCGTTAAGCCGAGAAACCCCGAAACGGAACCGAGTCAACGAGTCAGCTAAAGCAATTCGTTCAAGAAGAGATCCAGCAGATCCAGCGATCGACGATAGCCATCTCTACTAATCTTATGAAGTTCGTTGCCAAAGTCTTTCGATTGTCTTTGGTTTGCTTTGTTTTAGCCTCAGGCCAGGCGGCCGAAAAGATAACAAAAACTGGTTGGCTTTGAGATCGTGTAGCTCAAGAACATTCGGTTTCCGTTTCGTTTCGATTCAATAGAGTTGTGTTTTACTGCCGATTGACCGATTTCTGAACAATACTCGTACTCAGAGCAAGCCAAACTTGTCTTGCATAACGCTAATCGCACGTGTATGCTGTCAACGGAATTGAAGTTATTTTTGGAAAACAGACAGATTTATTGATGATATTTACGTACAAAGACAGGGAGAAGGAGAAAGATGATAGCATTCATTAATTGAGGGAGCTTTAGAGAGTGCATATATGTATGTATATGGAGATGCAGTGACAGTGAATAACACTTGAATAGGGAGTGAAATATTCAGTGCATTGGCCAAGGGTTACATGATGATTGGGGCTGAGGCTGAGTGAAATGCAAATTTGGATAACTCATCGGTGATCATGACAATTGAAAATATTTGCACCGTCCAGCTCGGTGTGTCCTCGTGCAATTGTACTCATAAGTATTTGTTTTCGCTGTCTTACAACATTTTCTGCACAAATTCCGCGTCATGCTTATTAAGCGCTGGGCTTTAATTGCATTTACGCGGAGTATTCACATGCTAAGCAACAAAATCAGCTAAAGGTAAAAAGTGACGAGTGAAATTTGCCATTATATAAAATACGCTTACGCTAACGCTATAAAGTAACAAATTTATAACAAGTTGTGCACATGCGCTGCGCCGCTCTAGGCGAGCGATGAGCCACACCACTGAGGCCCCTACCCAAACGATTAAAAATAGAACCCCAGGGTCGCCACAAGAGGGTAGAAGGGTTCAGTTCAGCGTTGGGCAACGGCTGGCTGGCTTTCAGCACTTGGTAATTGCTAATTTCAATAATTTCCTAAAAGCAAATCTGCAGGCAGCTCACTTACCCATCATAAATAGCAAACAAATAATGGTTTTTTGTGCGAATTAACATTCATCATCATCGCAATCGCATTCGGCGACAATTGGGCGCTGATCCCGGACTC